AAAATTAATATATGAACAATGTTGGGGAAGATACTTGAAGATATAGCTTTTTATGCTAACAATTATTTTACACTGGAAGAGGATGAACTTCAGAAAAGCTTCTCTAAGTCTAGTTTGGTTAACTAAAGCTTCTTAAAAAAAGTAGTTCTAACTACTTTGTATACAAAATACATATTTAACACTGTAAATTCATCCATCCACCCATTTTCAACCTCATATCCAAAGCCAGGTCGCGGGGGCAGCAGGCTGAACAAAGTATTCCAGACGTCCCTCTCCTCAGCAATGCATGCTTTCCAGCTCCTCCTGGGGGACCCTGAGGAGTTTCTAGGCCAGACAATATTTGTAATCCCTCCAGCATGTTCTAGGTCTGCCCTGGGGCCTCCTACCAGTGGGACATTCCCGGAGCACCTCAAGTGACCCCTTTCGATGCAAAGGAGCAGCGGCTCTACTACGAGCTCCCTCTGGATGTCTGAGCTCCTCACCCTATCTCCAAGGCTGAGTCCAGCCACCCTTCTGAGGAAACTCATTTCAGCCATTTGCATCCGCGACCTGATTCTTTCAGTCACTACCCAGAGCTCATGACCATAGGTGAGGGTTGGGACGTAGTTGGTTCAGTTAGTTATTACAGCACCTTATGTCTCCACCTCAGCCGAGGAGAGATGGCAGCATGGTTGCAGAGGTCAGTCCTCTTGCTGCAGAGTTTGTCTTTGACATTATATGTCTCATGAACGTAGAATTCACATTGCTGAGAAATGTTGTGACAGGAGAGTCTACCCATACTCACAAACTCCATGTAAAGCTTGAAATAAAGATCTTCCAAGTTTTCCACGTGTGAGACTGTCACTAACAAAATGTGAAATACTTTCTTTCAAATCTCGATCTGTTAATATTCAGATCTCTCAAATAACAAATGTGGCACACATGTAGGTGAGAGAGTTTTTCTTTGGTGAGGACTCAGACCAAATGTTTCACATTTTACAAGTGCAGCTCTACTGTGGAGTTAAAAATAAAATGTCAGTCCATATCTGACAATAAAACCCCACAGCAATGATGAATCAGGCTACACTTCCCATTGTGAAGACTTGTCTACTGTAATTAATTACAAATTTATGCACTTGTACCTTAAATATTTTGCCTCTGCTGCACTGCAGATGAAATTACCTCTACATTCATCTTACAGCTACTTTAGCCTATAAGATTTTATAATACAATAAATGATAAACAGATTATGATGCATTTTTTAAGCTCAGTCTGCTCAACAGTTTATTTTAACTCCATTTCAACCAGTATTAAAAAGATGCTTTTATGTTAAAGAATCAGTAATACAATCCAGCTACGTTTATTTGGAAAAAAGGCAACCCAGGTAAATAGGGTAAAACTTCTAACTAGATATCACTATGTTTTGTTATCAACATGTGACAGAATTTTTGGCCCTTGCAGAGACTAAAATCCTAAACACTAGGACCAAATGGGAGCAAGACCTAGAATGGACTTTTAAAGACACTGAATGGGAGGTCAATATATAAGGAAGTGCCATCCTTCTCATGTAACAGCTGCCATAAGTTTTTGAAGTTTAAAATTATCCACAGAACCTGTTTCACCCCAGAAAGACTCCCTCAGATAAATGAACCAATATCAGATCTTTGCCCTGGATGCAATGCAGAGAAAGGTTATATTATTCACATGCTCTGGAAATGAAATAAATTAAAACAATACTGAGATTTAATAAAAAGGCAAGGCAAGGCAAGTTTATTTGTAGAGCGCAATTCGTACACAAAGTAATTCAAAGTACTTTACAGAACAAGAAAATGCATTAAAATCACAATACAAAATCAAAACATAATCATTACAAAATAAACTTTAAAAGAGAAGAGTGCAGATAAGATCCTTTCAGTCATATGCACAGTGAAATAGAGCTGTTTTGAGCCTAGATTTGAACATTGTCAGAGTAGAGGCCTGTCTCACATCTTCAGAAAGACTGTTCCAGATTTTAGCTGCATAAAACTGGAATCCTGATTCCCCATGTTTAGTCCTGACTCTGGGCACCAGCAGGAGGCCGGTCCCTGAGGTCCTCAGAGTCCGAGATGGTTCATATGGCACTAACATGTCAGAGATGTACTTTGGTGCTAGGCCGTGGAGAGACTTGTACACAAGCAGAGCTGCTTTAAAGTCTATTCTCTGAGCCACAGGAAGCCAGTGTAGAGATCTGAGCACAGGACTAATGTGCTCGTACTTCCTGGTTCTGGTCAGGACCCGAGCAGCAGAATTCTGGATGTACTGCAGCTGTCTTACGGCCCGTTTGGAGAGGCCAGTGAGCAGGCCGTTACAGTAGTCTAACCTACTAGAGACAAATGCATGGATAAGTCTCTCCAAGTCAGGTTTAGACACTATACCTTTGATTTTGGCAATGTTTTTTAGATGGTAAAAAGCTGCTGATGTTATTGATTTGATGTGGCTGTTAAAGTTCAAGTCTGAGTCCATTATTACCCCAAGATTTCTAACCTGATTTGTAGGTTTTAGAGAGAGAGACTGGAGGTGACTGCTGACACTTTCTCTTTGTTTCTGTGGACCAAATACGACGACTTCAGTCTTGTCTGAATTTAGCTGGAGAAAGTTGTTTTGCATCCACACACTGACCTGTTGGATGCAGTGACAGAGTGAATCCACTGGTCCATATTCACCTGCTGTCAGTGAGACATAGATCTGAGTGTCGTCTGCATAATTGTGGTAGGACACATTTAAAGAGGTTATTGGGTTTGTTCACCTAAACTAGCCTTACTATAGCCGATGCATCTGCCATCACTCTTGCCAAAAGAAACAAGGTGCAGTTCATCAAACCGGCCATGACTGCTGCTAACAAATGTTGAAACTTCAGATCCTCCCCCATCTCCAGTTGGCTTAGAGAAAGCTCCTCATACATGGCATCAGATGAAAGTATGTTTAATCTTAAAAGAAAACCACATCTCTTTGATAACTGCTGGTCTGGTTTCAGGAGTTATACGGGAGTCTCATGAGGGTCAACAATAAGATTTGTCTATACACACATGCTATGGTGTAGATGTGTAGTTGATTTTGTAGTAATGTAAATGAATTTAATGTAAAAATGAATGTGATACCCATTTCAAGCCAAGACTTTAAGCTTTCATTTTATGTTGAAATGACTATTCCGAAGTTGTCGAAATCCGGCAATTGGGCAGTGACCTGCAGCGTCAGAAACCACCTAAAAAATGTGTCCTTTAACGTTAGCATGATACGTGACCGGTTGCCGGTATATGGCGCCTCGTGGCGTCACGGAAACGAGGCAGGACAAGGATGAAAGGTAGGGCGCCGAGGGTCCGAGTAAGGCGGGCGGGAGTGGTGGTGGACGGGTCAAACAAACACTGACTTTCACCCAAGAGAGCAGCGTTTGTGTCCCGTAACTTTCTAAAGCCAAACCCTGTTATTTTTTCATAAACCTAACCACTTTCTTTGGTTGCCTAAACCCAACCATGTGTTTTTGTTGTTGAGGGGAAAAAAGTTAATTTGCAATGTTGTACTGACCTGGTGCCTTTATTTTGAAAGATACTGTATGTAAACATTAAATTTCCTGTGAAATTGATGTGTATCTTGAAAGAAGAGAACTTGACACAGTGTCCCAGAACGTCAATAACCAAGGCACCCAGGGTACCTTGCATGTCAGAGGTGGACGTGGAAAGCCTATGACCAAGCATGTCAATATATGATGAGGTCAGAGTGATAATTTGTTGGGTGGGGGTAGTGTTGAAAAACAAAAACGTTACACATGTTTTTTAAATCATTTTTTCCCCCTGAAACCCCATTGACAACCAACCCAGTGATGGGGTTGGTTGTCAATGTGTCAGAGTGTCTTTGATGGTTAATTACTTCTTACTACAATAAGCTGTAAAAATGAAAGGGACATCCATTTCAAGCCAAGACCTTAAGCTTTCATTTAATGTGAGAATGACTATTGAAAGATGTTTTGGTGATGAGCCGTTCACACAAAAGTAAAAAGTGTGACAACCAACCCTGGTCTCCCCAAAATGAACACCTAAATGTTTTTTTGGCAGACATGTTATGGAAGCAAATCCAAAATCTCAACTGACCAATGCATGGAAAAACGATTGTCCTCTGTAGTGTCTCCACTTGAAATGTTTCTCATGATTATGTAGCTTTATAGTTCATACAGTATCTTGAGCCTTCTTGTAATGAAGTGTTTATTTACATTGTGGTGTCACAAATGGTCCTTCACTACAACAAACAAGAGGTCATCCTCTGAATAGTATAAAGCTGCTCTAAATCACATCTGCTTTAAAGCATTATCATTAGGCTCTGACACTCAGTTCTTATAGCTGTATGATGAAGTTGTCTCAGTGAGAACAGTGAGCCAGAAGGATGATGTGGAGGTCAAACACTGAGCACATGATCTCTGGGGAGGAGGTGCAGCATTTAATGTACAAACTAACTGTAACACCTGCTCATTATGAAACAAACCGACCCAGTGTGTGTGCATCCATTGAATTCACACTGATTTCGCCAATTAGTTCAGTCATGAAGGGGAGGTATAGGTGGGAGACAGTGGAGACGAGCTGCAGGAAGGTTTTTAATCAGTGACACAACATGGATTGACCAAAAGGGGGGCTGATACAGCAGCACCATCACTGACAGCATGAAATCTGTGCGGATTAATATCAAGCATATGCAAAGATTGAACCGATTATGAGCTGGATTGCATTTCCATCCCAAAGTTTTATCTTATCACAGCTCGTACTGGATGTAAAACCACTGCTGGAACGCGCAGACGTCCGTGTTTCTATTGGCTGTCCGCAGCGTCGCTCAGAGGAATGACGCTTTTTTTGCTGCTATAACCAGCTGATGCTGAAGCTATGAACACGGAGCCTCTGAAGAACTGTTGACGGTACATGGATACCCCGTCATCGGCGTTATGCCTGCGGATTCGGTTTCGTCTCCATCCAGAGATTGAGTGAGTAGGATATTTGATCGTGTCACGACGCACAGGCCCGGGCTCTTTCACCCCCCTGTCTCTCCACATGATGTTTCCTCGTCTTCTCACATCATCATTTTCATGGGCATGATGCTGTGTGCTTCACAGATTGAGCTTTCTCACCTCACACAGCGACACATCACATCTGCAGGTAAAAGGGGGGCTTCGTCGGTGAAATGACGGACGTGCTGCGATGGATTGTTTTTATGGGGTGGGTTTTGGGGTGCGTGAAATGATGTCTAATTATGGGTTTGTGGTTAAACGCTATTTGCGGGTCTTGTTGTGCAACACTGTCGTGAACATGGTCCGTGAACTACGTTATAATGCATGCACTGGTTGCTGTGTAGGCTGAGAAACGCGTGGACAGCGACGGAATGGTGGTGCGCTCCGCAACGCAGCGATGAGAGAGACGCAGTTTCGATGCAGAGAGAACAGCATTACTATCCCCTCTCTCTCTCTCTCTCTCACCTCATATACACACGCGCACACACATACTGTCGTGCACGCGGACGCACGCACCAACCTATTAAATTCACACTCCCAAACTCACTCAATCCCGTGCTTTTCTTTGCATGCACACACCAACAGGCGTTTGTTGCAAGATTAATACCTCAGCGCGCTCCATCAATATTTTCTGGACTTTCCTGACGTTTGCACCGTATTTCCATTTACCAGCTGTCTGTGTGATGGCTGCAAGGAGAAGCGGCAGCTTATCAATAAACCGACTCTGTGTTGAACCCATTTTTTAGGAACATTTTTCCTCGAGTACAGGAAATAATGCATGATGTAGGCTGCCCCAGTCGCAGGCTTTTAGGGTGCATATTTGTCTGTTCAGGCAACATTGAGTATGGATCGAATCATTCCCCTGTGGCAGCACCATATCCTCAAATGACTAGCCATGGATGGCCTCAACATCCACCTTATCACTTCCCTTGGAAAGACTTAGCTGTGTGGAGTGTAGGCTACACTGCATAGGAAAACGCCCACACAGGCACATGAGCCAAATCAACATTAAAGTGTTTTTGCACTGCTGAATAATTCAAGTGTTAAAACAAATGAAGTTGGACTGATACTGTGAGAAGCTCTGATGGTTTCAGTCCAACAGCATTCGCATTACAAAAGAGGCATTTAATAATCGTGGTCAGTATTTGGACGTGTGACAGGAGGAGATCTCAGCCTTTGGATATAATGGTTGAGTGTTTTTCCCCTCCAGGAACAAATTACTTAGCATTTGAGTGTGTATGTAGAAGATGCTCATAGAAAAATGGGGGGAAAGCAAACTAGGGGCTGAATATTAGTACACATGAAGAAGTTGTGAGAATGGTAAATCATCAGACATTTCAACCCATTCAGTTCAACATCTTAAATTTGTAAATAAACAGTGGGCACAATAGAAAGTGCAGCTGAGCTGATGGGAATGCCCATTATTGGCCATGAACCAAAGTGCTGGGCACGATTTTGACCTGACGATGGCCCTAAGAGTAAAAGTCAGGATAAATAAAGTTATTAGAATTCATCCTGATGGGCACAGTGTCTGCACCAAATCTCATGGCAGTCCACCCAACAGATGTTGCCATGCTGGCGGCTCTGTGAGGCTGTACTTTGAGCTAAATGCTAACATCAGCATGCAAACATGCTCACAATGACGATGCTGAACATGCTGATGCTAAGCGGGTGTAGTGTTTACCATGTTCACCATCAGTCTCTAGCGCGCTAGCATGCTAACATTTGCTAATTAGTACTAAACAGGATGGTAACCGAGATCCAGTTTCAGTTGAGAACTCTTTCCAGATTGTTCGATCCATCTGAATCGTGCAGCTCTGAGCTTATAAATTTCTTGTACTGATGCCGGTGTTGTATAAATGTGAATAGCGTTTCCCCCTGTTAATGCATGGCGCCCCCCTTGGTGGTTAGGGGTCAGGGCTAAGGGTTCGGTTCAGGTTTATGGAGGGGGAAGAACATATCAACAGGGAAACAGTTCTGACAGTTGAGCATTGCAAAACAATGACGTCAAACTCAGTACATCTGTGACAAAACTTGCAACAGCGAGAAGTTATGGCAGAGTTGGAGAAACAGTCTGAGTTGCTGCTTTGTTTTACGAAATAAGATGACAACAGTTTAATGTCTCTAAAATGACCATTTCAAGTAAGGGTGGAAACACCAACAATATGCGGAAAACTCTGTTTAACAAGGGCTTAAATTCCAGGAATGTCATGCATTAGACACTCTGCGCATGAGTGCCATTGCTTCCTAACTGAGCAGCATGTCCGTTACTGAGGGTAATTATCATATGGTATTTTAACATTGGCGCTACGCAGGCAGGCTTAGCAGATTTTTCCTTTAATAAGAAAACCAAAGTGAAAATTAACCAAGTCCAAATATACTCTCATTTTTATCTACACTGTCTTCAGACTCAAAACTAATACAATAATTGCAAAGATGCTGAAAATCTGTGTAGGCCTACTCTTTTTTCCCCACACAGAAGATTGATCAGGAATCAGTAAGGGAATCAATAAATAATTGGACCACTAAGTAGAACCAATAATGTTAATGGTATCAATGAAATTATATCAATTCCCATCCCACTTAACACATAGGACAGCTGGGGCTGAAGGGAGTGTCAGTAATATTGCAGGTTTGGTCATAAACAAAAGTATTGGACCACCAAGTTATTGAAAATCATTGTGAGAGAAACATAAATGTTTATACTAAATGTTATGGAGAGAGGAAAAGTCAGAGGATCATCAAAATCAGTAGGATACATCGTCTATAGGGACCATTCATTTTTGACCCAAAGTTGTGCCAATGCATCTTGTAGATGATGAGGTATTTTACTAGATATGTGAAAACTCTGACCAGCTAGTTGGGCTAGATAAAGGGTTGGTGGTGGGGGGTTAGGAGGGAGTCTTGTACCAGATTTTATGGCAATCCATTCAATAGTTGTCGAGATATTTCACTAGAAAACAACAACGTCACTCACGGTGCTGCTAGAAGAAAAGTCAGGACATCACTAGTAGGATTCATCCTCTGAGAGATGCTCCAATCGACCAACAGCGAACTACAACATTAGTGCAAAACAGGCATTTATAGTGCTACTAGTCATTACACATTCACTGTAGATTGTCACTCTTGCAGTTTCCTCCAGACTGAATGTATGTCTGACGAGATACAATGAGTGTGTGGAAGTCATGCTTAAGTCATCCATGATTTAAATGTGTCCTCAAAGAAATGCTGCCTTTCTGTACATGCACATGGCCTAGTTAGCCACCATCTGTGCCAAGAATACCACCAGCTTGCTACCGCTTGTGCAAGGCATGATGGGAAGTTGGACCTTGGAGTGACCCTCTGACAGCATATTGTAACACCTTGCTTCTCTGTTCTGTCTCTGGTCCAGCAGGTACGACCGCGTGGAGGTTTGGATATAAGCACGAGACGCACAACCTCAAGACATGGAATAAAGGGAGATCGGAGACGAGTGAAACAACCTGAGTCACATCCATAAATAAGAGACAGTTAAAAAAAAACTCACAAGGCTGGAAGAGAGCTGTGGAGTGAGGAAGAGAGAAGTAGAGGAGATTGTGAAGATGGGGTGTGGTCAGATGACGTTTCTCCTGGACTCTACAGTTCACTCCGTCAGCCGCTGGTCAAAGCTGGAGTCTCCTCGCTAAAGCCCCGAGCGGCTCATTTCACCTGCTGGAGGAGCCCCCACCCTTGGTGATGTGATGAATAAGTTTGAAGTCCTTGGCATTGTGGGAGAAGGTAGGTGGTTTTTACACAGCAGTTTTTTACTGCATGCTTGTAGAACGTGAGGACTGCACATACTCGTTGTTAACCTGCATCTCTGATCCTGGTGATCACACAACTGTCTTCTGTGCTGTTTAATGGGGATTTGGGTGTTACAGCAGCCTGAGGTGCAGTTCACATCGCACAGCTAAAACCTGCACATCGCAGTTGTCAGGTCTTTTATCTCCAGCACATCCTTGGGATTTTAAAGGGGCTTGTGAGGCTGAGAGGTTGCAGAAGTTTCTCACAGAGCAGCATTCTTCGAGACGGTCCCCACAAGGAAAACAACGGCATTAGTCATTTGTTTACCGTATATTCTCAAATAGTTTCCAGGGCCTTTATTTACCTCAACTGCCAAGCGAGGCCTCCACCTGAAACTTTAGTCCTATATTTTTATATCTTACCATCAGATTTTAGAAAGGAGCCTCCCTGTATCCTGATTAATTTGCTGCTGATGTAAAACATCCGCCGTGTTTACCTTCTTGTCTTGATAGTGTATGTCATCAGTTCATTAACAGAGTCATGTCGTACTCACCCCTCTGCTGCTTTGAATTTCTCCTCTGTGATAGAAATGCAGTTTTTATTTTCTAGTTATTTCTATTTACTTTCATTTTGATGAAATTTGACACTTCCTGGATTTGTGTTTCGCATTAAAAGCCTTCCAGCAGCTCAGAGGCCGGGATCCATCCCCTTGCTGTTTGGTTTTTTTGCCTGCAGGAAGTGTTGAGTTTCTCGGACTGTGACTAAACCACACTTTGAAAACAAATCAAAGCACTCAAAGTCTCTTGAAAGAGAAGCAACTGGAGTTCATCAGTGAATTAAAACAATATCTGTGTTTAAAGAGAGACTCAGCTGCTTTCCTAAGTGGTGAGTTTGACATGACTCTGAGTGCTGTGTAAATGTACAAGGTGCTGAACTTACCATATGATCAGAGTGCTATCAGAGCACAGGTTATTCCACACACACGCCTTTAAATGTTTGTTACACAGCCATTATTTTTTCATGTAGGCAGCACCCCTGGCTATTATTTAAGAGTCTGACATTTGAGAATACAGTAAAAGACATAAAATAACATGTTTATATTGGCCGTGTGAATTAGGACTCTCACCTTAAAGGGGCAAGGGATTATCTCCAGGTCTGAAAACTGAAGCAAGTGTAGGAGCACCTGCGGCCCCGACCAGACAGAGTATGTTTTAGCAGCCTGGGGTCGTCTTTTGTAATTGTTTTCAATAGGAGTGTTTTGGTTACTGCTTTTGCGTTGCTGAGCACATCTCGTTTTACCACTCTATGCACCTTGTGTTTTTGCCGGAGTTTGCTGAATGTCTCGCAGTTTAAAAACCCAGAACAGAAAAAGTGCCCAGTGCCACTGGCCTTTTTTCTTCATAGTCCAATCAGATGAATTCAGAGGTGAGCCTTTTGTGGTGGTGATGACAACAAGTAGCATACATGGTTTAAACGTTAGCTCACTTTTAACCTCACCCTAAGCAAGCTGCAAGACATCTAACATTTTACTAATTGTAACTAGGCCCGACTTTTGACATCCTGAGTCATCCTAAAATCAGCCTTGAACCAGCCATCGTCCAGGTCAAGCCCCTGGACCAGCCTAGGTACTTCCTGTAATTTCTCCTCTCTCTAAGCATCTCATGTACAAACAGGGAGCTCCGTTTCTCTGTGCCCTACTTGGGAACAACCTCTCATCCTCAATCAGAGCCAGAACAAGTACCCTCCACCTGTCTATTTTTTATGCAGATTATAAGGTACAGATCTGTGGGTTTGCTTCACGGCAAAATAGTGGTTACGTTAAGGACGGGTGATGCGGTGGTTGCCAAGCAACAATTTGAAAAAAAAAAAAAAAGAACACAGTAAGCTCCAAAAAGTGCTCTGGATGATCGGGGATGGCTTCAATGAAAAAAGGCAGTGCAGTGTGCCTCGCGTTTAGCAGGTTGTTCTGATTGTATGCAAGTCTATGAGAAAATAACCCTACTTCTCACCTGATTTATACCTCAGTAAACATTTTCCTAAGGAATTTACGGTCTCAGGAGCTAGTTTCACGTCTTCTTTAATATGGCATGATGTTTATTTGGTAAATTATGATCCCATTTAGAGTAAAATAGACAATAAAGCTGAGTTTGCTTTAGGCTATGGCTGCCTTTTGATTGACAAGTCGGGTTCTCAGTCAGATCCACGCCCCGCTCCTCCACAGCTGTAACCTTGTCCAAATATGGTCTCTTCTGGCTCCAAAAAAAACAAGATGGAGACGGCCAAAATCCCTATGAGTGACACTTTTAACCTTTCAGAAAATATCTAAAATAAGCCTTGATTGTATGCACAAGTTTTTTTGTTCATGTCTGTGTGTTTGCAGAAGAATAAAAACGCTGGATTGCTCTTGCACCAGTGACGACATTGATGGCTGGTCAGAAAATGAAATAAATGAGGTTGAGATTTTAAGTCTAGTTGTGAATGACTCTTGAGTATTCCACGCGCAGATCCTTCACACATCAAACCAGGCAGGAATGATTTCTTTCAGTCAGCTGCGTCATTTGTAGCTCATTTCAGTGAGCTGGACTGACATGCATCCCCGGCTTCACTCTAATTTGATAAGACAGGGTAACCGAGTGTTTATTGTTCTGTTGATAATTCTCACTAACTGTGATCTACATCAGTGCTTGTCAGGACGCATTAATCATAAAGTTAGACACACAAAGAACTGCGATGAAATGATGAGACATTTAAAGCCACAGCAACTACATTCTTACTCGTTTAAAAGTCTGCAGAATTTTTTGGTACTAATTTTAAGGCGATTATAAACTAAAGAAAACATACTTACTGTATTACATTCAGTTTATGCCAATGTACCTCCCTCAATCCTGCACATTAATCTTTTCAAGGCAATCATTTTTACCACTGTAAATTAGCATTTTAAAGCTTTCTTTTAATAATATTGTCAGTGTTTCTCAACACAGAAACAGCGCAGTCTCCTGGATAATTTTAACTGTTGTTTTATTCATGTGGGACAATTTGTTTGTTCTTGCCTTGTTCCCCAGTCGAATTAAACCTTTAAACTGGAACAGGCACAACTGGGAGTTATTACGTTCCATGTGCGATTTGAATGGCGACAAAAGGCAATTTGGAAAGAAAATTATTAATTCCAACCAATGCAAGTCTGACTTACAGGCGCAGACCTGACATCTGAAATATGGATGATCTACCGAACAGAACACGACGTGCTTAGCAAAGGCAGAAAGCTATAGAGACACTGTGTGTGTGTGTGTGTGTGTGTGTGTGTGTGTGTGTAAGCTGTCAAAGGTATAGTGTGTGTAGAGTGTGTGGGAGAGTACGTATACCTCCGCCTCACCTATTAACTGTTGTTTCTCTGGTGGTTCTCACCTACTGTACTTGTTTTCTATGAACATGTTTGTTTGAGGTTTAGGAGGCCAGAATATTAATTAAGATGTTGAAGTTTAAGCAAACGTCTCAGTCTCATCTTTTATTGATCTTTTGTCTCTTTCTCTCTGTTTCACGTTCAGGAGCGTACGGAGTGGTGCTTAAGTGCAGGCATAAGGTAAGACAGCATTTCTCGTTGTTGTAGGTCTCACTGTCATTTGTATGAAAATATTTTTGGTTTGCATTATTATTTCTTTGTATTTTGGGATTTTGAAGTCAGACAATGATAAAGAATCAAATGTTAATATGTAGACAGTGAAACTAGAGTTGCAATCGAAAGAAAATTGATCTTCATCTATTTTGATCATTGATTATTTGAGCCATTTTTCAAGCTGAAATGCCAAATAAGTGCCAGTTCTTCTATCTTATCATATATGAGGCTTGCTGCTTGATTTTGTTTTAGGACTGTTGGTCGGATAAAACCATAGCCTGTATAAAAAGAGGACATAGCCTCCATGATGTCACCCATTGGTTTGTCGACTGTTTTAAAGCCAGGAGATCATTTCAGCTGTCACAATGTTGGATTTTTGAAACCCACAGTGATCATATTTGGACAAGGATGGATGGAGATAACCCTTATGCTAGCTGCTTGCTTGTTAGCATGGTTCATCCCAGACAATATTTGTAAGTGGGGTCAATGTGGGTTGTCAGTGGGCTGAAAATGGACCCTATCTTGGACTGTCCACGGTCTACCTATTGGCCTCATGCCAGTTGCCCACATAGGTTATAGTAAGACTCCCTGAGTACCAGTGCCAAAAATGGGCATCTTATCTGGGTAAACCCACCTATTTGGCAAATATGGAACCCTTGGACAGTCCCATATAAGGCTCATTTTTACACCCAATTATTACCTACATGGGCCCCGTATACAAATGTTGGCTGGGATACTGTTTGCTATTAAGAGTTTTTTATTATTTTACAACAAGACAACATACATACAAATCACACATACATACATACAGGACAAAACATACAACAAGAGGAGGGAGGAAAAAAAAAAGAAAAAAAGGGGGGGTTGCAAGAGTGTCATGCAGTGTTCATATAAAAGAGAAGAAAGACATACAAATCAATTCATAAGGTTGTTATAGACAATGTCCCAGTGATCTTCCATACTTTTATCAAAGTCTTATCTAAGTCTTTTAGCAAGCACGCTGCCCGTTCCATATTCAGGAGATCTAAAAATTCTCCAAGCCATGACTCTCTGGTAAAACAACCCGGTTTGCGAACTTTCCAATTCATAAGGATGAGTCTTTTAATTGTGAGACAGCCCAGAGTCCAAAGCCGGTCCACTGTGGCTCCTAGAGTGTTGACTGGTCTTTTACCAAGGAGGCAGGTTATTGGACAGATAGGAAACTTGACCTTGAAAAGTGATGACATATATGATATAGCGTCTAGCCAGAGAGATTTAACTGCTGGACAGTCCCACAGTAGATGGAGCAGAGTCCCTCGAGTGCCACAGTTGTGCCAGCATGAATCTTGGGATTCCTTATTCATTTTGGATAATTTAGCAGGGGTGATGTAAGCTCTGCATAAAATCTTGTACTGTATAATTCTAAATCTCACACATTTCGAAGTATACAATGCAGATCTCCAGATATCATTCCACTGGGAAGGTGTTAACGATATATTAAGATCATGTTCCCAAGCCAGCTGAACAGGAGCATAGGCACCGGGAGCAGGTCTAAACAGTGAGCTATAAATGTTAGAGACCGTGCCTTTTGACAGGGTTGCCTTCCTCAGTAGTACATCCCAATCAGGGCAGGAAGCAGGAGCAGCTCCTTCTTTGCATTTCCTATGTATGACGGATGATATCTGTGCATATGTTAGAAATGATGAATCTGTGATGTGAAATAAATTTTTAATTTGTTGAAAAGAAAGGAGAGTATCACTAAAGATTTGACCAACAGTTAGTATACCATGTTGCTGCCAGATTTTGTTATTTAAGGTGCCACCTCCGGTTGATAAAATAGAGTTACACCAGATAGGACATGATTGGAGAGAGAGCCCCTCAATACCAAGTCTCCTGTGCAGTTGCTTCACAATAGAGCAAGAGAACCTGATAATGATGTTGTCTAGCTGGGGTGGGGGATTGGGACAGTACCATAGGGATGCCAATTATATGGCCTTATTTCATGAAAGGATAGTTTCCTCCAACCATTGCCAACTGCCTATCATGGCATCAGACTTATAAGCCCAGGTTAGTGGGTACCGTGCATTATATGAAAGATAGTACTGATATATATCTGGAACTCCCAACCCTCCCTTGGATCTGGGTATAGTTAGTTTCTTGAAAGAAATTCTGGGTTTTTTATTATTCCAAAGGAATCGGATGAAGAGGGATTCAATGTCTCTGAACCAGCTTTTGGGAAATTTAAGAGGGATAGAAGTGATGATATGTGCAAGTCTTGGTAAGACATTCATTTTCAATATTTCCACTCTGCCCCACAAAGACAGTGGCAGGTCTGTCCATCTGATGATATCATTCTTGATGGACTGTAAAATGCTAGGACCATTTAGACTGAAGATTTTAGTGATGGGAGAAATTATGGTAATGCCCAAGTATTTCATTCCATTTGTTTTCCAAAGAAAGGGGGCGTCCTGTAAATCAGATTTAAATGTATAAGAGTTAAGTGGAATAGCCTCACTTTTGTTCCAATTAATCCTGTAACCAGAAAAACTGCTAAATAAATTAACCAATTTAAGAACTGCTGGTATAGAGGATGCTGGTTTACTTAAAGTGAGTAATATATCATCAGCATACATATTCAATTTAAAACTATATCCAGAGAAGTCCACACCACATATATCAGCACTGGAGGCTGGGATACTGTTAACTAATAATGCTAATGATAATTTTTGCTAAAAAAAAACAACAACAAAAAAAAAAACAGGCTTAAAACTATTGAAACAAAATGTACTTACCTGAAAAACTGAATATCTGACTCTTCAGAAAGGTAGTAAATACGGATGACACGCAAGAGGGCTGATTTGCTTCTTCTTTTAATTCAATTTTCATTGGGAACGATTCAAACACGGCATTTTGCACATGGGTTCATCAGGTTTGCTAGACAATATAATGCAGTTGTTTTAACAATGCTGCAGCTGCATTGGATTCAATCAGCAGCAGAGTGGGCTGAGTAGACTACATATATGGTCATGTCTACATGCCCATCATTTGCAAATACCACATACCATATAACAAAACAATAAGACATACTGCATTACATACATACCACAACAGAAAGTTCCCTAGGGGGTCTGTAAGTGAATCTAAACACTAAACAATACTTTTTTGGGCGAACCAAATCGTTACAATTAACCTTTAAGAACTGAAATCACACTAAAGTAGCAACAGCAAGAGCTACGCCTATATCTGAATGTGAGGTTACATCATGGTCACATTACCATAAACGGAGAAATTTGCTACCAGACTGTAAACATGTTCATTTCTGCTGTAAAGTTGGGCATTTTAACATGGGGGTCTATGGGGACTGAATTGCTTCTGGAGCCAGCCTCAAGTGGCCATTAGAGGAACTGCAGCTTTTGGCACTTTCACGTTGGCTTAATTTTTCAGCCCCGGGGGTTGCTGCTTGGATAAAACAAGAAATTTCAGGGCATTACTTTGTGCTTTGGAAATTTGTCATGTTACGACGTTTCATAAACTAATCGATTAATAGAGAAGCTAATCTGTAGAATAATCAATATGAAAAAATGTGTCAATTTGAACCCTAATTGAAGCAAAACTGGGAGGAGGATGTCTAGTATTTCAGTTTTATCGGGCTTTTGTAGTTAATTATTTGTATTATTTGTATTAGTTAGTTATTTGTATTAACTAACTGAGATATTAGACGACCTCTTTCCTTAATAACTGTCACTATTTAGATTGATTGTTAATGTCATCAGCTATGGTAATTGCTACTGTCATTAGAGGAATAAATATAAAGTTGACAAAAAAATATTTGCTGGTTATAACTCAAAAATTGCAGTCAAACTTTATAATACTTCTGTTCAAAAATCTTGAATACAGGCTGTGAGATACTGTCTACAGTACCCTAATGTCACCAGTTTCATGTGTTGTGCAAACGTCAGTCACGTGGTGCTGACCTACTCTCTCCCATGCTGTATGTATGTCACACTGTATGAATGAATCTGAAAGACTAGCACATAATGTGAGCTCAGCCGGTGGCTCTTCAAAAAAAAAAGGTCTTTAAATTCATGTCATTATTGTGCTTGGTATGCATGAAAGCGAGGCCTGTTGGTGTGACTCATCCAGCAGTGCCTACCATACGTGACTGAATGGTTCTCAGCTCATGTATTGCTGTTGTATCTTCCTCTATTTGCTGTTTCTCTGTAGTCTGTTTATCAAGCAAAGGCAATGTTTGCAACCTATGGTGTTCTGAGTTGCAAATGTGGAAGTAACTGTGTGATTATTTTAAAAACCTAACTCTGAAAAAAGGTTAAATTAAAAAAAAGAAAAAAGGAAAAAGGGTAATAATCAACAAAAGCTCTTACGTACTATTTCTTTAGCTTCACTTTAACATCACTATTCAAGCTATATTATGTAACACGTGCTAAACAGCAGAGTGACAGGATGATAATAAATTAGAGTCAAAGTCAGCAAACAGGCTTAGTCAGTTGATATAGCCTCTCAGTCTAAAGTTGGATAACATTAGCCACAATAAGCTTTACTGGTCACTTTTTCAAAAAAGTAAGTTTGAATGACAAAGAATGATCTCATAGGGCTGAACAATTAAATTGATTTAAATTAGGCTACCATTTCAAAGTAACGATGTGCAAGGTATGTGTTGATGTTCTGTGACGCTGTGTCAAGTTCTGCCTGTTATATGCATTGTCTTCTTTCAAAATACACTCTACTGTTTTTGCGGGAAATTTACTGTTAACATACAGTCTCTTTCCAAATAAACGTACTATGTCAGTACAACAACGCAAATTGACGTTTTTTTTCCTCCTCCAACAATACACGCACATGTTGCTGGAGGAGGATTTGGCTTTATAATCTTACTGGACGCTAACACTGCTCTCCTGTGTGATGTCGTTTGTTGGACCCATCCACCATCACTCCCACCCACCCTACGACTTTCTCCGCCTCAACTTTCG